CTGATATGCAACTGGCGGTCGTAAACTAATATCAAAGATGATATTCATGCATATCACTTAAATTATTGGCCATATGAAAGCCTGATAAATAAATTTTATTCACAGATTGAGAAATCGCGATAAGACACTTGCTTTAAGAATGACTAATATGAAGTAACAAAATTCAACGAATAAACGAGCATTTTGGCATTTCTAAAGCGTAATTTAACCTCCCCTAGTTAACCAGCCTGTTCCAAGCCCAGGTAAAGAAGGAAGGGTTGGGCGTAGGGGTAGCAACCCTACACCATCAAACCGCTAGAGAAAATTAAACACACAAAAAACATATTAAAAATACAAAAAATTCAAATAACAATCTTGCTCTTCGCTGGAATCGGAGAGGCGAAATGACGCGGGCTGGTGAAAGCCCTCGGGAAACCAATCAGTTAGCCGATGTACCTTTTCTCGATGAAAGCGAGAATAAGAATGGGGACATGGAATATCCGTACAATGTACGAGACTGGGAAGGGTGCCCAAGTAGCCAACGAAATGCGAAGATATGGCACAGAAGTGCTGGGAATCTGCGAGAGCAGATGAAATGGATTATCAAAATTGTCAACTGGAGGGTCAGTAATCTACTCCGGTCACCCAGACGACAACCACGAGCACACTGAGGGAGTGAATGGTCATAATGATATCACCAATGGCAGCCAAAGCCCTAATGTAGTGGGAACCAATTTCACCCAAGATCATGACAGCAAGATTCGACTCAAAAGGAAGGAAGGTTACAATTAACCAATGCTACGCACCTACAAAAAACGCGCAACAAGACAAGAAGGAAGATTTTTACAGACACCTACACACAGTAATGGACAACATTCCAAGTGGTGACATCAAAATCCTTATGGGCGATATGAATGCCAGCCGAACTTGGAGAAGATAATACAGGAAGAGAACTCATCATGGGTCTACAGGCTCTAAGAGAAATGAGTGAGAACGGAGAGCTATTCGCAGACTTCTTCTCTTTCAACGATTCGGTGATCAGAGGAGCGTGTACAAACACAAGGATATACACAAAGCAACACGGATTTCGCCTGACGGACACACTGCGAATCAGACAGATTTCATCTCAACCTCAAGGAAATGGAGACGCAGCCTGCTGGACGCAAAGTCGAGATGGGGAGCAGCTGTGGACTCAGACCATCATCTAGTTCTAGGAATCTTCAAGATGAAGCTGATATCTTTCAGAACAATTGGAAACAGGGTGCAATTCAAGTTCAATATTCAGAAACTGAGAGACAAACTATAAGGGATGGTTTCATTACAGATACGAGAGCAAAGTCGGAGACACTCAAGATATCACTGAGGAAGCCTGCGTGGAAGAATATTGGAACTAGCTCTCTGAAGACGATGTTCAAGGAAACGTGTACAACTCTTCTAGGAAGAGAGAAGAGACAAGATGAAGTATGGCTCTCAAAGGATACGTGGAAGCTGATCGAGGAAAGGAGGATGATGAAACAGAAAATAACTCAATGCAAATATGGGCAACAGAAGGAGAAGCTGAGTTTAATCTACAACGCCCAGAATAAAGAAGTAAAGGAGAGTGGTAGGAAAGATAAAAGACAATTCTATGACACATTGGCAACGGAAGCAGTACAGGCAGGCTGCAGGTAAAAGAGACATCAGGACATTATATCAAATGACCAGGTCTCAATCCGGAAAAGGATCAGCCCAGATGATGAACCTAATAAAAGATACTCAAGGGAACCTGGTCATCAAGGAGGAGAAACAAACAAAACAATGGGTCGATCACTTTAAAGGACTCTTGAATCGACCATCACCTGCAACTCGCTCAGAAAGACACTACCAACAACAACACACAGAATTACCTGCCAGTGGACACCAATCCTCGAACGGAAGCAGAAATCCTAAATGCGATCAAGCTTCTGAAGTCCAGAAAGGCGGCAGGACCAGACGGAATTCCCTCTGAAACATTGAAAACGGACCCAGAGACTGCAGCAGATGTGCTCACACCATTATTGCAAAAGATTTGGGAAGAAAGAAAGGTACCTAACGATTAGAAGAAAGGTTGGCTATCTTGTCAAGCTACCGAAGAAGGGCGACTTACGCCTCACTCTGCAATAACTGGCGTGGAATAATGCTCTCGTTCATGCCGAGTAAAATACTAATTCGCATCATCCCGGAGAGAATAAAAGATGCACTGGATACAGAACTCCACCCCACCTACTAGAAAAAGCTGGATTCAGGAAAGACAAATCATGTGCTGATCAAATTGCAACTCTACGCATCGTCATCACAGAACAAAGCACAGAATGGCAGTCAAACCTCTCCCTACCTCAACTTCATCCACTTCGAAAAGGCCTTCGACGGACAGTGTTGACCGAGACGTAATTTGGAAACTACTTCAACACCACGGCGTGCCTCAAGTGTTTATCAACCTCATCCAACAAATGGCTATATGACAATGCCAAGTGTCAGGTGATCCACAGCGGGGAACTCAGCGAGGCGTTTGAAGTGTATACACGAATAAGACAGGACTGTCTATTGTCACCAATGATATTCTTAATTGTGGTGGACTGGATTATACGTCAGACTGTGGGGGCGGGCGAGGAGACAGGAGTACGCTGGATCTCAGATGAGATGACTCTAGAAGATCTGGATTTCGCAAATGGTATATGTCCAATGTCACACAAACTCGAAGACTCACAAGCGAAAACCAAAAAACTGGTTGAAGATGCAGAGAAGACAGGACCGCAGGTGAACATACAGGAGACGGAGGTGTTGAAGATAACCAAACAATAGCAACAACAACAACCAGTACCAACGGGAGAGATTTAGCAGAGGCTACTTCCTGCATTCACTTATCTAGGAAGCATCGTTTCAACCACAGGCACACAGCACGGACGAAGATATCAAAGTCAGAATTGGAAAGGCAAGATACGCTTTCGTCAACCTGAAACCAGCATAAAGAACAAGATTCGGATTTTCAACACCAATGTCAAGTCAGTCCTTCTATACAGGTCAGAAACTTGCACTGCGTGTCACGAAAAGGATTTCCAACAGACTGTGGACTTTCATCAACAGCTGCTCCATACTCAAAATCAAATGGACAGAAAGAATAAGTAACAAGGAACTGTGGAAACAAAACAACCAGGAGCCGATTGCTCAACAAATATGTAGGAGAAAATGGAGATGGATGAACCAGACACACATTGAGGAGACCGTCGAATGACATCGCGCGTCAAGCTATTGCTCCAGTGGAATCCAAATGGGAAGCGACGAGTGGGTCGTCTTAGGGTGATATGAAGGAGATCGTGTGAGGAGGAAATGAGATTGTGGGCAACCGTGGTCCAAGCTGAAGAGGACGGCAGAAGATAGGAAAAAGTGGGAATGTGTTGTTGAAGCCCTGTGTTCTACTCGGAACTCAAGGGAATAATAAAGCATAATTTTCTTCTGATTAAACGTTGAGTTATCCAGTCAGAAATTAAAACCAGCAGCTTATAAGGACAGTTTGAAATACTTAGTCAGTGAGCAATGAACCCGGCTTAATTAACACCAGTCATGTTCAGTTTGCTTGAGATTACTCAATAGGATAATGTGATTGAGAAGCTACACTAGACAACACATATAGCACTAATTTCGTCATACTACGTATGTTTAGTCCAACGAATATGACATTGTTTCGACAGATGAGTATCGGGGAAACCTTTAGATAATTATAATAATTTAAAGTTAACTGAATTACAGTATTGATTAATTAAACTCGTTCATAACGTTTAACAAATATAATTGATACGAAAATATCCCATCAAATTTCATTCGACAAAGTAGGCAACAACTCATCATTATGAGATGGAAAACGATTCAAGAAATATTTATCACAAATATTCATTTCATTATGATATCAAAATTCTTTCACGAAGACAACTTATTTCACCAGTGGTGTGTAAATACCGAGGATGCGAAACGAAAAATTCTATGAAGTTTGGGCAACCCTATGTAATCAAAAAATACAGGTGCAGTTGGAAGGTAGTGATACTTCTCAGGGTAGTATAATTCACTTATGAATGCATTCCCTTAGAAATGTTATGAGATATTTAAGATAGACCAGCTTACCAAACTCGTCATAATGTGCCAACCTAATGAACCGCAGAATAACAGTATAAGTCGGTATCGGAAAAAAAGTGGTGAAGTGACACAGAACAAAAGGAGTCTATAACACAGTCCCTCGGAACACTGAAATAACAGCTCTTGCTTGGTTCAATTAAAGACTCACTATATGACTGCAAGAACAACTGCTTTCTAGTAATATTGGGCAACCTGAAGTCTGAATGGCCGTGTCTTGAGCGCATCTCGACCAAAGGTCAGACTGTTCTCAATAACTTGGAACTACTTTGTGATACTACTACTCGTGAAATACTCAGACACTTTGCGCTAGCCACACGACTACAAAGATCTGATATTATTCTGCGTATCTTAAAATGGATTGTATTACACTTTTAATAAGTATTAAATGCGCATAGCTTAGTGGATAAAGATACGTTTAGATGTATTACCGTACTAAGCATCCGCAGTTAACAGAACGCTCCCATGGATTCCCAGGAAAGCCTACTTGTGGTTAGAATAACTAAGCCTTTCCAGACACGGCCTTTGTGTACACTAAAATTGAAGAGTACGTTTACCAGTAGCACGAAATCTAGTACTAATGCACAATAAAGTGAACACGTACGACCACATCAAATACTACGTTTCGAGCTTTCATAAACCAACGCTAGCAGGCAACAGCTATGCAAGAATTTATACGATACCTCTAGAAACTACATGGGTTAGGCAAGGAAGAAACCATCCACTATTTGAGGCCACCAGTCGATGGAGACAAACAGACGTTCGGGATTCACACTATTGCAATGAAAAGACGATGCTTGCAATGCGCATACGAACGATTCACAACAGCGCCTACTCATATAAGCAACTAATCAATCGTAAATCAAAATAAAATTGTCATCCAAGTTAAAGTTTATTGTATAATCTATTACACAAAAAATGCAAATTTAGATTAAGAAAGGCATTGGTAAATATATCTTTTGAACAGTGTCAAAAATGTGAAAAAAGTGCAAAGGATAACACAGGCATTTGTTCATGGCAAAGTGGTATATACATATGAACCAGTACCATGTATGTCATCACGCAATGACGAAACAGGATATAGGCGAAATCAGGGAGCGCACACAGAGGCATCTATACACAGGTGATGAGCGCTATGGGCTTATGGTGAGCTGGAGACCTGGATGTTTATCCATAGTGAAGTGATGCATTAGATCACCAGCATCATATGCTGGGTCGAAAAGGCTGTCATCAATTCTGGATGGAGTACCGGAACTGGAATCGAAAGCTAAGGAAACTGAGTCACCAAACTCTTCTTTGCATGGACCAAAGTCAACATCATTTGCTCGCCAATCTTTGTTGTCAAAATCATCTGACAATTGGTGCGATGGACTGCCCAGATCTATACTCTTGTTGGGGGAATCAGAATCGTCTATGTGATATGAAGGTAAAGGTATCTCTAACAGTGCACTCGATTCAGGAAATGTGTACTGACTGAGTCTGCAGTCGAAAGAGGTATCAGGTGAATCGCCGAGACGACATTCCACTGGTCTTGATTCGTTAGGACAGATGTTATTCTCGGAGTTAACATTTAGTATTGTAGAATCTGGGGATAGAATTTGAGGGTGAGGCATTTGATTTGGACAAGCTGGAATCAATGGTTGTGTCACGTGCGGTAATGAACCAGGAAACTGACTAGAAGTACTTGGCATCTGAGTAAATGGATGAGGTAGGTGTAACTTACTACTCCTGGACTCACGTTTTCGTTGCCTCGGATATTCGGTCTTTTGCATAATTTCTGGACAATATTGACATTCAGGACTACACGGTAGGGGTGATATTCCGAGTATGTCAGATGCCAGGGTATCCCTAGACGCTATATCATAATTTTCAAACATGTGGGAGAATAATGCGTCCAGACAACGGCGTATGTAGTCGCGTACTTCAATTAGATATTTCTTTATACGACATCTTATAATAGCGTGAACGACGGAAAGATTTGCCTTCTTGGTAGTACGCGCAGAAGAATTTGCTTGTCCAGACCCGCTCCGGGTTGCCATATACATGTCTCTCACCTGGCTGAGAGGTGGCTTTGACAACTGAGCGTTGATAAGGGCAAATGTAGAGGACTCCCGCGACCTGCGGATTTGTTCTGCTTGACCATGTGCCAGTGATCTGGTATTGGATGTGCTTGCTCCACTTGCAGGACGGCTGGGGCGCGAATGAGACCTGGAATTATAATTACGAGCAGTGGAATCACCAGAATATTTTGACACATATGACGGGCATGGCGATGAAGAATTGTTGTGTGAGCTCTTTTCAGACACAGCGGAATCGGAATCATAAAACATTTTCCTAGACGGATTAACGCGATTGGCATAATGACTGCTGCTTGGCACATCAGAAGGGCGAGCTAGAGATAAAGTTGTATAACTACGGATTATACTCACCTCGTTTTTGGCCAGTACGACAACTTTTGGATTGCGAAGCTACTTCATGACGGTAGACAGGGGCAGTGTTGGTGTTAATCCTCCTCGATAGCATACCATCGCAATTTTCGTAACCATTTGAGGCAGAAAAATTGAAGGAACGATCTAGATATTCTGGTCGGAGGACTACAAGAAGTTGCATATAAATCCTTAGTCAATTACCTGATCTAGAGTTAACATTCATCATTCTGCATTACAGTTACTGGTGATTATCAAAGCTACTCAGTTCGTATGGGGCTGATGGTCTAGCAACTGGCTGCAGCCAAACAGAAGAAGGGGAAACACATCACGCGGAATCTAACCACACTCAAAGCCCTATCACGCCACTTTGGTTTGCGAATCTTTCTCTCCTCAGCCATTCACGGTTGTTTTAGTACATTAAAACAATTCTGAAATATATTGGACTATTGAAAGCTTCTTTTCGAATTAAAACTTGTTTGGTAGTGTCTTGGTGTACTGTGGTGAATTACTTCTTGTTTCAATTCTGACTATATAACAACTGAATGGCTATGAACTGTTAATATTCTCTGGGGTACAGAAGTGATATGAACAGAGAATTCGGGCTTAAATAATTTCACAAAATATAACGAGAAGCTATTACACTTATTTTGATGACAATCTGAGTATTATTTTCAAATCCAGAGTGCTCTAGCAAGCAACAAAGGAAATCCTCAATTCATCAATGAATGTTATAATTCCCTCGTTGAGCCAAGTACCGTTCACTAGCCTTTCCATAAGCCACAATGAATAAAAGTGGCAACTAAAGAAATAAACACATAGCTATTGAAGCTGCACAGTAGAGGAAAACAAGCCTTTTCTCCATAAGAATTGAAAGGACTCTCCAACTCGTGGACGTAGATGTCAGCGGGTGACATTATCGTGAAAGTCAGGCAATCGATTCGCCTTCTTTCGATTTAGGGGAAAACAGTATGATAGTACGGAGTTCTCTTATCATCTTTCTGCTTGACAAGGCATCACAGGCTGCAAAAGAATTGAAGATACGGGATACAGGGGGGTTTTTAATCTGTGTGCTAAGAAATAATGGAGGTTTTTTCTCCAAATTATTAATCGGAGTTTCAGTTACCTGCTCCATTCACCGAGAGAACAACCACGAGCACACTGAGTGAGTGGGTTTCGTGACTAAAGTAGCAGCATCAGAAGCTCTTATGCAGTGCAAATCTTTCTTTTCTAGGATCATAGCGAAGTGGATTTTCCAAAAAGGCAGGAAATCTAGGATTATGCAATGCTACGCTACTGTTAACAAATCAGACTCGACAGAGAACAAAGAAGAATTCTGTAGGCAACTGCTAACTGTTGTGGACAGAAGCCAGATGGAATCAACTGCATCCTAGTGAAATCTAATCGGGCATCATAGAATTTAAACCGATCACGCATCGAGTTTCACTAAGGGGGATAAATGGGGACGTAGGTCTCCTTAATGAGTTCTCGGGGTGGTTTGAAGACACCCTGTGCTGGCACAAGTAATCCCATAAGGTGACGTCGATTTCATCCGGTAGTCACAAAAGGAATGATTTGGACGTCATCTCAGTCTGAAGAAAGTAGTAATGGAGACAACATAACGCAAAGCTGAAAAGGTAGGATGTGTGAACTTAGGACACTATCTAGTGCATGGGGCGTTCCAGATCACGAAGGTAGTCTTAACTAGAATCATCGTCAGAGGCCCTTGCCAGTCGAATTGAGCCATCCCGCTGAAGCAAAATAATTACTAAAATGCGATTGACCAGCCCGAATCCCAGCTTTGTGTTACTACTACGCACAATTCTCTATGGAATAATTTTCTAGGGTACATACTACTGGCATGTAAAGTAATTTTGCATAGCGTAGTCGAATCGTTCTCACTAGAACGCACAATATATTTTGTCCTCATTCTGTTGGGCCAAAAGGGTGAACGGATCAGTACTCTCTTTCTAATTTACACCTACCTCATCCATTTACTCAGATGCCAAGTACTTCTAGTCAGTTTCCTGGTTCATTACCGCACGTGACACAACCATTGATTCCAGCTTGTCCAAATCAAATGCCTCACCCTCAAATTCTATCCCCAGATTCTACAATACTAAATGTTAACTCCGAGAATAACATCTGTCCTAACGAATCAAGACCAGTGGAATGTCGTCTCGGCGATTCACCTGATACCTCTTTCGACTGCAGACTCAGTCAGTACACATTTCCTGAATCGAGTGCACTGTTAGAGATACCTTTACCTTCATATCACATAGACGATTCTGATTCCCCCAACAAGAGTATAGATCTGGGCAGTCCATCGCACCAATTGTCAGATGATTTTGACAACAAAGATTGGCGAGCAAATGATGTTGACTTTGGTCCATGCAAAGAAGAGTTTGGTGACTCAGTTTCCTTAGCTTTCGATTCCAGTTCCGGTACTCCATCCAGAATTGATGACAGCCTTTTCGACCCAGCATATGATGCTGGTGATCTAATGCATCACTTCACTATGGATAAACATCCAGGTCTCCAGCTCACCATAAGCCCATAGCGCTCATCACCTGTGTATAGATGCCTCTGTGTGCGCTCCCTGATTTCGCCTATATCCTGTTTCGTCATTGCGTGATGACATACATGGTACTGGTTCATATGTATATACCACTTTGCCATGAACAAATGCCTGTGTTATCCTTTGCACTTTTTTCACATTTTTGACACTGTTCAAAAGATATATTTACCAATGCCTTTCTTAATCTAAATTTGCATTTTTTGTGTAATAGATTATACAATAAACTTTAACTTGGATGACAATTTTATTTTGATTTACGATTGATTAGTTGCTTATATGAGTAGGCGCTGTTGTGAATCGTTCGTATGCGCATTGCAAGCATCGTCTTTTCATTGTAATAGTGTGAATCCCGAACGTCTGTTTGTCTCCATCGACTGGTGGCCTCAAATAGTGGATGGTTTCTTCCTTGCTAAACCCATGTAGTTTCTAGAGGTATCGTATAAATTCTTGCATAGCTGTTGCCTGCTAGCGTTGGTTTATGAAAGCTCGAAACGTAGTATTTGATGTGGTCGTACGTGTTCACTTTATTGTGCATTAGTACTAGATTTCGTGCTACTGGTAAACGTACTCTTCAATTTTAGTGTACACAAAGGCCGTGTCTGGAAAGGCTTAGTTATTCTAACCACAAGTAGGCTTTCCTGGGAATCCATGGGAGCGTTCTGTTAACTGCGGATGCTTAGTACGGTAATACATCTAAACGTATCTTTATCCACTAAGCTATGCGCATTTAATACTTATTAAAAGTGTAATACAATCCATTTTAAGATACGCAGAATAATATCAGATCTTTGTAGTCGTGTGGCTAGCGCAAAGTGTCTGAGTATTTCACGAGTAGTAGTATCACAAAGTAGTTCCAAGTTATTGAGAACAGTCTGACCTTTGGTCGAGATGCGCTCAAGACACGGCCATTCAGACTTCAGGTTGCCCAATATTACTAGAAAGCAGTTGTTCTTGCAGTCATATAGTGAGTCTTTAATTGAACCAAGCAAGAGCTGTTATTTCAGTGTTCCGAGGGACTGTGTTATAGACTCCTTTTGTTCTGTGTCACTTCACCACTTTTTTTCCGATACCGACTTATACTGTTATTCTGCGGTTCATTAGGTTGGCACATTATGACGAGTTTGGTAAGCTGGTCTATCTTAAATATCTCATAACATTTCTAAGGGAATGCATTTTTTTATTCTCATATTGCAGTATATGAGGGACGCCAGTTTACAGGCATCATCAAGTTGTTACAGAAATAGAACCATATAGTTCAATCACAATTTACAGGCAGTAGCAAGATATGCTTTACATGTTCGCTGGGGATTATACATACACTTGATAACTGTTAATCCCAGTAGTATAAAACAGCCTTTTCACTTATATACAATCATTTCTGTGCACAGTTGGAAAAATCTGCTAGATTGTCAGTGAGTGCAACACAACAGTAAATACAGGAGTATTGTCTTCGCATTAACAAAAAAACCAGGTCTTTGGTGGATGGATTATAAGTGCCTGGGAAATAATAAATCTTGAAGTAAATATTCATACTTAACTTTGTTGTGTGCAGAGTCCTCGAATTATAGTTCATTGATGTGTTATTTTGAAATCAGTGATGTGTTTATTTCATTTGATCTGAAATGTCATTGTTGGGAGTAAGTACATAAGCTTTAATCGCATTAATTAATGGATTTCTACTGCTCGTGGGTATTTTCTTAGAGTGAGGAAGGTTTATGAAATTCAGCTGTTCCGACAGGAGTTGAGAATATTAACTGCTCAGCAACATTATGGATATATGTTCATTACATTATCTAAGGAAAGGTGGGTTGCAGTTGGTGAGGGATATATGGTGCCCAACGAGCGTTCATCTGTCCATGTGATGTTGTGGTGAGTTATACCTTTTTCATGTTGTCGGTTTATGTCCATTTTATTCCACTTGTTGTGTTGGGTAGTAGTTTTACAAACGAGATTTCTTGTCTGTTTGAGGATGCGTATCTTAACCGTTAATGTTTTATCTAGAATTATAAATATAGGCAAAAAACAACAGGTGTAGTATTTAAGCTTATACATTAAATGGACCTATAATTTCGGAGGCTCTCAGATAGGAACTAGAACTACTATCGTTTGCAAACTCTTGTAGTTTGTCATTAAGCACCTTTTTGAAGGAGGCCAATGTACTTGCTTGACGCATTTCCATTGGCAGTTTATTCCATATCTGTGCATACCTAATCAAGTAAAATTTTTGCCTGGTGGCTGTTTTACATTGTTCGATAGCTACTGTACCCTTAGTGTGTCTTAGTTTGTAGCCATTGTCATCTGAAAGTCGAGTGCCATTAGTAGAGGTAAAAACTAAGTGGTTTAGAAGCTTATTGTAAAGTGTCAAGTTTAGTCTCAGGCGTCTTAGCCATAGTGTTTCTAGTCCTAGGGTATCACATCTAGTGGAGTAGTTCGTACCATTTTCAGTTCCGAGTAATTTTAACGTGAAGTACCTCTGCACTCCCTCGACTTTCAATTTGTCCTCTATGCGTTTGCTACTATACATGAATGAACAGTAATCAAATGAAGGACGCACACAAACCTTGTACAAGAGAATTCTAGACTCATTTCTGTAGAAGTTCCTGAGTAGAAAGCCGATAAGTCTGCGTGACTTTGACACTTCTTTGGAGATGTGTTCAGAAAATGATAAGTTATGTGAATATTTCAGCCCTAGGTCCAGTACAGATTCCAGTCCTAGAAGTGCATGGCCTTGAATTGTCAGGTCAAGTTCTAAATTGTTGCAACCTATGCAGAGCCAGCCACATTTTTCGACATTAAATTGGAGTTGCCAGGTGTCCCACCATCCATTCATTTTTTCTAATTCTTGCTGTATGGCGTTTACTGTTATTCCAAGATCTGTGTTCTTGCATTTATACGTCACTTTTAAGTCATCTGCATATAGTATTGGTCTACCTACACTAAAGCATTCACAGATACTGTTTATATATATTATGAATAAGAGTGGGCCTAATACACTTCCCTGGATTACACCACTACTTACTGGTTTAGGCCTTGAGATTATCGAGCCAACTTTCGTTGTCTGACTTCGGCCACAGAGAAATGATTTTATCCAGCTCAGGAGAGGATCACATATCCCTAGTGAGCATAACCTGCTGACTAGCAGATTATGGGTAACTCTGTCGAAGGCTTTTGTTATATCGAAATATAGTACGATTACTAGTTCTCTGTTGTCCCTACTTCGTGTAACTTCATTGAAAAAGTCTATGTGACAGGTCACACATGATCTTTTTTTAAGAAATCCATGTTGTGATGGATTGATAAGTTCATGTTCTAGTAAGTTGTCTGACACTTGGTCTTTAACCACTTTCTCCATTATTCGGGTAATTTCCGTGTTTTTGTTATATGGGTATTTGTTTACATACCTGGTTTTGGCCCCCTTTTTTGTTTTTGGTAAATTTTTTTGGTTTTTCCCCACTTCAGGAAAAGTTCCCGTTTCCAACAGAAAGATAAAATTTTTAAATAAAAAAACAACCCTTTCCCTGCCACCCTTTTTTGTACATGACAGATGGTATGTCATCTGTTCCAGTACCACCATTAGACTTCAAAGTCTTAATCGCTGAGTCTATATTTTGTATATTAAAGTCTATTTCGCCTAATTTGTTGTTACTTTTGCAGGTCATTTGGAAATTTTGGGTCGGGTGCACTCTGGCGTTATTGCAAAACCACTCATTGAGGAGTTCACTTATAACCTGGGGATCATTGTATATTATACCCTTTTTTTCCAAACTTCTAAAATTTTTTTTTTTCTTCTTTTTTAAACTTTTCTGAAATTCCTAAAAAATTCCCTGGTTTTGGGATTTCCCCAAAAGCCTTTTTTTTTTTTAAATTTGGGACATCTTTTTGCTTTTATTTTAAACCCTTTTAAGAGTTTCATGTATTTGGTTTAACGCATTAAATTCCTTAAATACATGGTATTTCCTTTCCAATTTTTTTGTTTTTAGTCGCGTTTTGCGGTCTATAAATGGAGTTGGTGTCTTTAGAGCAGATTTTAGGGGCGCGATTATGTCTCTTGCTGAGCCAATTGTTTTGTAGAAAATATCAAGTGATACTTCTAAGTTATTGTTAATGAAGTATTCTTTCCAGTCAGAACTTCTCAGCAGATCTGATAGGAATTCCCAATCGGCATTCTTATAGTCCCTATACTGATAGTGCACCGGGGAATTTTTAGGTGTGTGTTTGGTTGTTAGTCGGAGGGGTAGCGTGCAGTACAATATGTTGTGATCACTGTTATCAAGTTTATTTCCTAACTCTATCGAGATGGGCTCTATTTCATGACAAAGGATTAAGTCAAGAGTGTTTTCATTTCTTGTAGGCAGGCGTACGCACTGCTTCCATCCGCCTACGTCTATAGCTTGTAGTAGCTCGTCATGGATTCTAGGTCCTGTACAGGTATCCCAGTTTACTCCAGGTAAGTTGAAATCGCCACAGACTACTTTGTAGTCAAAGTCCAGCGCAGCTGCTTGCTCTAGTATTTCTCCAATAGCTATATCAGTCATTTGAGGGCTATTAGGGGGTCTGTATATACATCCCACGAGAATTTTATTTTCGTTTGTGTGGATGCTTATCCACTTAGATTCAGGGAGTTTGTCAGTAGTTGGGTTATTGAAAGTATTGGAGTTAGTGGATTTAGAGGCATATATTAAGCAGCCGCCTCCTCTTTTGTCAACTCTATCGTTCCTATAGATGTCGTAGTTGTCTATTAATAGCTTTGAGTCAGGTATATCAGTAGTAAGCCAGGTTTCAGTCACCATTATTAGTGTTGGCCGTTCTATGTATGCCAGGCAGCGAAGCGATGTTATTTTGTTAAGGAGAGATCTAGCATTCAGGAGCATAATCGTTAGTAAACCAGAGTTATTAGGGGAGAGGTTAACATGGTTACTTGTTACTATTCCTACGTTATGTTTGGAGGGGCTCTGGGGTGAGACAGAGTCAGTGTGTGTACT